TATGAACTTTAGAATTTCAAACTTCTACTTTCGGTGTTTAAACCTATCAAATCATATCCGATTGACTTCAAGTTTTGCGCACAAGTCATATTCGACATTACAGACCTACTCCAACTTTAGGAATCGAATTCTGACCCCGATATCAAAAAGTCCACCTCCGGTCAAACTTCTCAAAAACCTTCAAATTTCTATCTTTAGCCAAATGGCTCCAAAAAGTTCCACGGGCATCCGAATTCACTTCTGATCGCGCTCCCAACTCCAGAATCACCATACGGAGCTACTCCTATAGTCGGAATCCCAAGCGAACATCGATAACACTAAAATGCACTTCAACCCAAACTTATGAAATTTCTTCCAAAATGGTAACTTCCATAATAGGCGTCAAAACACTCCCGGGTCACCCAAAACCCGATTCGGGCATACGCCCAGGTCCGAAATCATCATACGAACCTGCTGGAACCTTCAGATCTCGATTCCGAGGTTGTTTACTTTGAAATCCAATCCTAGTCAATTCTCTCAACTTAAAAGGCTACCGAAATGAGAATTTCCTCTCCAAGTCAACTCCGAACTTCCCGAAATTTAATTCCGACCACGCGTGCAAGTCATAATTCCTGAATTGAAGCTGCTCATGGCCTCGAACTGTTGAACGACGCGCTAGGGCTCAGAACGACCGGTCGGGTCGTTACAATGATCACCACAATATTCCTCTTTCGATTAAATAAACTGGTGAATAAAGTTGCAAATAATTCAAAGCTACACAAATGATATTCAAGCAAAGAACTAGAGTTAAAATCCACAAATATCAGTCAAAACACCATATCTATCAAACCCTAACAACTTGTTTGGATGGTTATTACGTATTATTTTATAATGTATCATATCGTATCGTATCGTATTGTATTGTATTGTATTGTATCATTTGATAAATACAATGTTTGGATAGATTGTGTCGTTTGCCATCGTTTCATGATATCACGCACTAACAATATAAAGAATAAAATTACAATATTATAAAGAAAAATTATGATACAGGGTAAAATTATTATATAAAAAGGTAGGGTAAATGATAAAATAAAATTATTTACTAAAAATGATGGGTGAGATTGAGAGAAAAGACAAGGTAACGACACGACCACACCAAATCGGTCGTTACATAAAATGGCACATTCGTCGTTATGTAACGACAGATTTAACGATACGATACAATAAAATTTAAGTAACAATCAAAATAAACATCGTAGTTAAAGTAACAATACGATACAATACAATGGGTAACAACCATCCAGACAAGCTGTAAGGGAAACTATTCCATAATCGTGGAGGAAATCATTACAAATATAATTAAAGAGTAAGAAAACATCAATTTAACATTACAATCCAAACTCCCGTATTGAATTGATGGAAAGATGATGAAATCTTGTTGTAGCCTCCGGTGCTCTCCAAAAGCTTCTCACGTCAAAAGTCCTCCGAAAATTGTGTTTTTGATATACTTATACCATGTAGGAATGGGCTCGGATGAAATTACCTTTTTCAAGCTGAAGTGAGACAATTGGACCGCAAAAAATACACTAGCGTGGCGCGCCATGCGCCGCATCAGTGAGGTTTTTTAGAGATTTGATTTTTCACTTTGCAGGAATTTTGCACTAGCGCCCCACAACGCGGTAGTGCATTTCTCTCAGAGTAATTTTTTTTCTTTTGACATCCAGACTTGGTCCTTGACCCCCAAATATGATCCCGGCTTAATTTCTTGGGCTTCTAATCAGACTTCTACGCTCCAAATCATCTTCGTTAGTTCCAGACTTATTTTTTTCACTCAAAATCACATCCTACACAATATCACACACGTAATAAGTATAAAGTACTACAGCTACATTCAAATACAATCAAAGTGTAGTAATTAGGGTGCGAAGTATAGTTTAAAACATGAGTTCCTAGCCTACAATCAACACCTCACACTTAGACCATTGCTCGTCCTCGAGCAATCAAACTACACTTCAAATAGAGACGGCCTTTTTTCAAGCAACTCTCCTAACTTATCATACCAAGAATATTTAATGCTGACTAAGTACCCTATCATAACATCCTAGCCTCAAGACTCGGCTCAAAAGCATCATGTATTTTTCAAAAACCTGCTCACTTACTCTAACACAGAGGCCAAAGATATTACCTTGCCTTCATAAGTCATGTGCCTCACAAAAAAAAATATATAGTAGTTTTACACACAATAAAATTCATGAACAATGGGAGCTCAAGATAGAAAGATTTAACTCACTCTCAGAATTAAAATTCATGTGCCACAGAAGACGCATCAAATGATTGCCCGTAATGTAATACTCTTCTAATTGAGCTCATTCAGTCAAAGATCAAGTAAGACTTTATCTTGGTTGTAATGTAGGCTGCGGGACGGGTAGAATACATGTGGATCTAGTGACTACACTTTAATAGCATAAAACTCCCAATATCTTTAAGCACAAACAAGATGAGAACTACCACTAGCAAGGAATCAATTTTTGTCTTTTCAAAGTTCTAATTTTTTCTCTTTTTTTTCTTTCAAGCACTTCATTTTTTCTTTCTTTCAATTCCTTACAGATGGCTCTCATAAATTTTCAAACAGTGCACCTTTCTCCATTTTTCTCAGTTTCACTCAATAACAAACCATACCTCCACTTAGCTTTAACACGTTCATAAAAAATTCAAGTTCTCAAGAGATGTCAAAGGTTCAAACAAAGGGATCAGGCTTGTAGTGTGGTTGCCAAAAAAATAAGATTACAGGCTCAACGGGGCTAGCTAAGATACATCACAATTAGGTGGGTAAAAACATATATCTTGCTCAACAAAGAAAGACCTATATCACTTCCTACACTCAACAAGATTGTCCTTTCGCTTGCAAACACACAGGGCAAGTTCTAGACGTCAACTGACATACACAGAATATCGACAAATACCTCACACGTACATTGGCATATAACTCACTTAGGACTGGATCTATCCTGACTCCTTAGTCAAAGTAGTTAAGCAACATCAAAATCAAAAATAATTCAAGCACTTATCCAAGAGTCAAGAATTGAGCCTAAGCTTCAGGACTAAGGCACTCACTACTCTCAAGACATAACAAGTCAAGAACAGCTATCTCTATTTAACACTACAGCACAAAACTTCCCTATTCTTAACAAAAGAAAAACTAACTACACCTAGTTCAAGCAAAACCTTTAGAAAAGAACCGCGGCACAAGAAAATACCAAGGGAAAATTGTTACACTACCTAACAAAATAAAACTATTTTTCCTTCGACTTTGATCCCTCAAGAAGACAGTCGAGAAAATCCATCGTCGGGAAAAGTAAAAAAAAAAATCAATCAAAAGAAAAGGAAACAAACACACACGTACATATTTACATCCCCCACACTTTAAATTATGGAATGTCCCCATGACACACAAATAAAAAGCAAGAGGTAAAAGAAACTCCCCTGAATCATCTAATCGGGGTCTGAATCGAAGTCGGGATCTCCTTTGCATGTGTTGAGAGCTTCTTTTCTACCTTCTTTAGCAACCCACACTTATCATGCTTACTCTCTCCAGCTCTCTCTTTTAGGGCTCTTGTTACTTCTTCCATCTTGAAGACCACCCTTTCTTCCCCACTCTGAGCATGAGCTGCCTTTCTTGAATGTCAAGAATAACTCTGCCAGTAGCCAATAAGGGTCTCCCTTAAATCAGAGGGACCTCCCTATTATCTTTCATATTCTTCACTATGAAGTCCACAGGGAACATAAATTTATCCACCCGAACTAGCACATCTTCCACTATTCCTTCCGGTATGATTGTGGTCTGATCCGTAGATGTAAGGACACATGTGTAGATCTGATTTCTCCAATCTCTCCTTCCAATTTCCTAAAAATAGAGAAAGGCATAAGATTAATAGAAGCACCTGAATCACACAAGGATTTTTTAAACTTAGTAAATCCTAAAGAGCAAGATATAGTAAAACTCCCTGGATCTCCACACTTTTGGGGGAGCTTGTTTTCAGAATGGCACTACAATGCTCTGTGAGCTTGACAACCGATGTCTCTTCCACTTTCTGCTTTTTTGGACAATATATCCTTTAGGAACTTAGCATAGGCTGGAATCTATGAAAGCGCCTCTACGAATGGTAGATTGACATGCACCTGCTTGAGCACATCTAGGAAACGCCCAAATTATTTGTCCAACTTCTCTCTTCTCTGGTTCTAAGGGAAAGGTAGAGCATACATGTATTTTCTTTCCTCAATCTCCTCTTTCATGAATTTCCATCTTTCTTCTTCTTTTGAGCTCTAGTCTTCCCCTTCTTCTTCAAACCATCATCTACCATCACTTCACCTTCTTGAATGTTGCTATTTTTTGTCACTCCAAAATCTCTACCCGTCTTTCAATCAACTCATCCTTTTGTTTTGCCCTGGGATCCTTCAATACGTGCCTATTCCTCAAAGAAACTATATTTATCTTCTCTTTTGGATTTCTTTCAGTATCAACAGGGAGCGTTCCTTGAACCCTCTCAAACAATAGATGGGCAAGTTGCCCCACTTGTCTTTCCAAGTTTCAAATAGTTGTGCCTTGTTCTCGGATAGCCGTGCCCTGTTATTGTATAGCTGAGACATGGGTTTCCAGCCTCTTATCTGTCTTGATAATAAAGGTCTTCATCACATCTTCCATGCTAGACTAATTAGGCTGTGAAGGCTGATATTGTTGCGTTTGCTGATTTTGAAAATCTGGAGCTCCCTGTCCCCAGGATCTGGAGTTATTTTGTTGCCATGTGTTTGCACTACCACCTGGTTAACTCCAAAAAAGACTTGGGTGCCTCTGCCCCATAGAGTTAAAATTATTACCACTTTGGTAGTTGCCTCTGTCAAAGCTCCCCACAGTATTTACCACTTCATCTGTAGTCGAGACCTGACACTCATGCGTTGGATGACCCATTCCTTAAAAATCATAAACATGACTGGCTCTGGACCTTGTCTAAGGTTAACTTTCATATCTCAATGGCCATGGTGTCTGGCTGGACTTGCATTGATGTGTTAGAATCCACTTGATGTATCCCAATCTTTTTCCTTCTCTCGTTATCATCTGCATGCCATTGATTTGTATCTTCAGATAATTTGTTAGAATTGCAACAATCTTCCCAAGAGTTTTCTTCATAAGAGGGCCTCCAACTGCATTGTTTATCGTCCTCCTGCCAGAGGGTGTCAGCCCATCCTAGAAATCTTACAGTTGCATCGACAATTCTACTCCATGATGCTGACATCTTCTCACAATATCCTTAAATCTTTACCATGCTTCAAATACCGTTTCTGTATCTTCCTGCTTGAAGTTATGGATCTCTTTACAAAATTTCCCTATTTTTGCAGCTGACAAATATTTTTCGAGGAACTTCTTTGTCATGTCTTCCCAACTTTGAATTGACCCAGTCGGCAAACTCCGCAACCAGTGCTTAGCATCTTCCCTCAGTAAAAAAGGAAATTTCCTTAAGTAGATAGTATCTTTCGATACCCCGTTGTGCTGGAAGGTATTGATAATCTCATCAAAATTCATCAAATGAGTATTTGGATCTTCGTTGAGTTTGCCTCGAAAGACACAATTGTTCTGAATGGTCTGAAGTAGCCCTTGCTTGATCTCAAAATTATTGGTTGCCATCGGAGGAGGTCACACACTAGATACTTCTTGGTTGTAGACTGGCCTGGCGTAGTCTCCCACTGATCATCCAGGCCTGGGCATACTATTTTCAAATTCATTTTCAAGCAGTGGTCGGTTCAGGTTGAATCTTCGTCCTTCGTTCCCGTCAACCGTTTCATCAGCTCTAAAAACTACTTCAACAACTGCCTATGCGGCTGCTTCCTGTTAGGCTGCTTCCCGTGCAGCCAAATCAACTACCTCCTCACCATTTCTCAGTTGTTGCAAGTGTTTTTCCAACTATGCTTTGTAGTTTATTACTTCTTTTGAAAAAGATCGAGTCATACACCAACAAACTTAACCTGTTGCCTGCACACGGAAGATAAAAACATGAATAGAAAAATAAAATTGATTCCTGAATTAGCATCAAAGATTGCATTTCCCAGACAACGCCGCCAAAATTTGATGAGCGCAAAACACAACACGAAACTAATGCTCCTAGCCAAAGATAGTATAGTTATGATTATCCTCTTCACAAGGATTGGATTTAAACAATGTTCAAGTAATTTCTAGCCTAACTCTATTCAGGATGATTAACACGTTGGTTGGGATGATTAATAACTAAAATTAACTATGAAACTAAAACAATTAACAATTGATCAATGGAAGACAAGAGTTGAGAAACACTAAAACATCAATGAGAGAAATAAGGGTCGTGACAGGATAGGTGCAAGATAGCTATTTGGGATCAAACTCTAGTTCAATTCACTCTAATGTTCTAATGATTCTCACGAATTCACTCGATGATTAGTTCAAACGTGTAGTCAAGACTCCTCTCTCAATTAAATCTTAACTCGACGAGGCGAACTAATATAAGCACTATAAAAATATGCAAGCATGAGTTAATGGATTGGTCTTTAGGAAAACGTCTCTCGAATATTTTCCTAACTCGAGTTAATCATCAATTCAACAAGCGCATTCGATTACTTAAGAGAATCACTGAATTAAACCAAACAAAATAATGCAAGTTAATCACCACAATATTCCTTTTTCAATTAAATAAACTGGCGAATAAAGTTGCAAATAATTCAAAGCTCCATAAACAAATTTAAGCAAAGAACCAGAGTTAAAATCCACAAATATCTATCAAAACAATATATCCATCAAACCCTAACGTTACAATTCAAAACTCCCATATTCAATTGATGGAAAGATGATGAAATCTTATGTTTTGTAGCCTCCAATGCTCTGCAAAAGCTTCTCAGGTCAAAAATCCTCTATAAATCATGTTTTTGATGTATTTATACCATGTAGGAATGGGCCCGGACGAAACTATCTTTTTCAAGCCAAAGTGGGACAATTGGACTACAAAAATAGATTGGCGCGGTGTGCCATGCGCCACATCAGTGAGGATTTACAGAAAGTTGATTTTTTTCACTCTGCGGGAATTTTGCCCTAGCGCGGCGCGATAGTGCATTTTTCTCAGAGTAATCTTTTTTTCTCACTTTTCTACATCCAAACTTGGTCCTCGTCTGTCATGACCCGATATCTAACCAAGTCGTAACCGACACTCAGTGCCTTAACTTGACCGAGCGAACCATCTTGGCTTTTCTATTCTATTCTATTTCTGTTATGCAATGCATCTCAACACAATTCGATATAATTTAAAGTAAATACTTTTATGAATCTTCAAATGAAATAATATTCTTGAAAGAGATTCATTATGCTATCTTGAATACATTGAAAAACAAATGTAATGCAAAGTGGACAAGCATGACTCTGTTCTGACTCTAGCTATGAAGCCTCTAAGAAATACTGAAATAATAAGACAAAATTTTGGAATCAACGAACTCCACGAACTAAAATGGAGCTCACCAAATCTTCTGGTAATGGGAGGAGAATATCCTAGCTCGTAACCTGCTTGCCTGCAAAATCTGTGCCTACATTGACATAGGTCAACGTAGGTTCTCATGTAGAGAATGTCTGTAAACCACAGCGGTACTCAGTAAGTAAAGCAATCCTCCCACTAAAGCTGGAACGAGACTCTGAAAGAAGTATGTATGCGTGATATAAGAAAATTCTAAAAGCTTCTGGTAAAATGTTAAAACAGACAACTCATATGTCTGTTGTAAAATTCTTCTTGATATCATTTATGAAAATTCTCTTTCTTTTGTTTTCTCCTCTTTTCTGAAAAAAATATAAAATTCAAATAAATACATATATAAACTTTCTCAGAACAGTTCTTGTAAATTTTCTAAAACATTTTCTTTTCTTTTCTTTTCGCGGAGTTCCATTGATTCTGACATTCTTTCCCAGCCTGATCGCTTGGACCCCATTCCTATGGTGCCTCACAGTTCAAGGTTCTAGCATGCTCGCGTTCTTGTGCCTTACCAGGGAACTTCTATCATAGTGCCCGAACCAACGATACCCTAATCTCCTACTTTGGCACGAGTAGTTTCAGGGTAACCTAAACCACCAGAGGCTATGAACCCTTCTCAGAGATTTAAGGAAACTCCCAAACTGTTCTTCTAAGTGATTCATGCATCACAAAATTTAAAACAATGATATGTCTTCATAGTTTTCATCAAAACAGTTCCATAGAATCATGTAAAAGAACTTTTCAATACAGTCTATACATTAAAGAAACATATGCAAGTCATGAATGCATGAGACATGATTTATGGAACAATATACTATTCTTGAGTTATTAACCATATAATTATCTAAGATCTTTTCTACAATTCTAATGGATAATGTGAGTCCACTCGTTCCATTCAGAGTCCACATTAACACCATATACAGTCTAACAATAACTTATGACATGATCTTTGTGAGAAGATAACTTTAGTAAAAGCATTATCTCTACTCACCTTGATTTCTTGCTTTTGAATACCTTCATTTTCACCAATCCAATGGGTTCAACTCACTGTACAAATCTATACATAGTTAATTTAATGATCAATACTAGAAGTTCCAATATTTCCAAAATATAGAAACCCTAGGTTTGATTCATCTCTCCTTCTAGGGTTCACCGTTTATCTAAGTTCTTGTAGTAGTTTTTAGGAACAAATATCAACCATAAACCTCTCTAACAATTGTTGTTGAAAGCGGTTACAAACTTACCTTGAATCGTGAAATCCGAGGTTAGTGGAGAGACATTGTTCTTGAGTTCTTGTTGAGAATCTAACGATTTTGAGATGGAATATTGTTAGAATCGATGTTTGGGAGTAGTATTCTAATGCTAATCGCATTGAAAACTCACCCTAGGTAGTATGAAAACCCTTGGATGACTTGAGGATGAGAGGGGTGGTTTAATCTTTAAAGAATAAAGCTAGTTTTCTCTCTCCCTGACCCTTTTATTTCAATTTCACGCCTTTGGCATCACGGTCCGCGCCTAGCACCAGCTAAAACACCCCAAAATTTTTACTTCTGACTTTGGCGTTTTGATTCGCGCCTGGTGCCTTCCAGGCGCCCAAAATGTGGCCCATTTTTCTGGCAGGATAGTCTTCAGTAAAACGCCTATAACCTTTTATAGGAATATCGAAACGCCGAACGGTTTGAAGTGTTAGAAACTCAACTTCAAGGGCTTTATTTTGATATATAACTAAATTTTAATTCATTATATATTGATAGATATGCTCATTGAAACTTAGGTCATGTGCAGCTAAGGTCGTGTTCATCCCTTAAGTATCTCCAATGTGTTCCAATTTACTCATCTCCTCTTATAACCATCCATTTAGCCTTATAAACTTAAGATTTATGTATTTTATACCTTCATATCTTTTCACACACCTTTGTTTCCATCATAGAGCTTGAGCGAGAACATAATACTTAGCAAAAGTTTTCCGGGGCTTTACTTTCTTCCCCCCTTATATGACATTCGTCCTCGAATGTCGAATGAGTCACTTAAAGTTAAAACTCCTACCGTTAGCTCTCTGTCTCTTTTGCATAGTTTACCTAAAATGCAAAATTTTGCCAACACCTTAAATTTCTTATAATTTCTATAATGCCTCCTTTGGAACTAGAGCAACCACAACATTTTCAACATGTCAAATCTCAATCATTTATATACCATAAAGCTATCCAACTACAACCCAAAATCCAGGCCACTCATGATCATACACAGCTATCAAAACTTCTACATATATAGGTTGGAAAACTTTTCGAAACTTGAAACAGTTACATGCCTCTTCCTCAAATCAATGATGGTACTTTTTTTCAAGTCCTCTTCGGCTTCCCATGTAGCCTTTTCTAAGCCTTTCTTTTGTCTATAATCTTCTGAGGGTAACATAGAGCATGACTTTATGTATATAGATCTTTTGTGACCTTTAAGAGAAACTATATAATATTTAAACCAATGTAAGTTCCCTTGTATATCGTATGAAGCTACATACAAATAAAAATTTCACAATAACCTCTCTCATTTGTGATTCAACCTCTATGCTCGAATTAGCCACCTTTACTATTTTGGTTTGCGACATGACTCATTATTCCACTTCTCTTCTAATTCTTTCATCATGAGAAGATACATATAGGTTGGGAAATTCACCCAGCATCATAGGTCTACTCATAAAAATCATAAGAACTAAAAGTTACCTCAGAAACATGACTCATATTTAGGCACTTCTTTCTTGCCTTTTTCTTTCTGACAAAAGGTTTAGGGATATTGAGACATCACCCCCTTTTCTTCTCAGAGTAGATTTACTTTCTTTATTGATCACACATTTATAATATACCATATTTTTCACAACCTCAAATCTCAGGATTCCATTCTTCCACATAGGTCTGTTGCTGGCCTTTAATCGTTTATATCTAACATTCCTTTTATCCATTTTGTATCTTAGGATACCAATTATCTTATGAGGTTCACTATATCAATTTAGCGACTCGGACCTCTACCCACTTGATCGTTACAAATAGAACTACTTCTGAACCTGTGACAATATCTAACTTTGTGAGTTACCTATTCTATAGATAGGCTATTATCCACCTCCATATGGCTTGTGACAACTGGTGACACATAA